AAATTTATAAAAATAAATATTAATATTGTTTGATATTTTAATTTAAAATAAAAATATTATATATTAATTTATTATTATAGTTTTAGATATCCATAAAAATTTGATAAATTAATAAGACGAAATACATAAATACCGTTTAATTTTTTACTTGGTCATAACTCATAAGTACCCTAAAAAACACTGTTGATGGTTGACTTGGGCCGAAAACGTGTTATAGATTTGTAGCCTAACAGGTTGATTTTTGACTCGGGCCTCCTCCTAATTTGCGCTCAGCTGCTACCCTTTTACCTTATAAGAATAATGAGATAATAATTTGTTTCATTATTAAATTAATAAAATAAAAAATATAATAAGTTTTGTGTTATTTTAGTACTTATGTTTTTTTTCGTCTTCAATTTGAGAAGATGGAAATATACCTAAAAATATAGTTTTATAAAATTTGAAAGTTATTATTTTATTTTTATCGTTATTTTATTATTATATATCTATATTATACTTAAATTATAACATTATTGTTATGTTCTTATTTATTGTTGTTGACTTTATTGTTTGATTATCATTATTATTCTTTTCTATTGTTAAGGTACATATTTATTAGTTGAATATTGAGTATCAAATATTAGAATGAGGAATAGTATATTAAAAAAAAGTGTCCATGCAACAATTGTAAAAAATATAAGCCTTTGATTATATTGATTTGAAGCATGATTAAGTTACATTAATTTTGTTTATTACACTAAAATTTTAAAAGATGTTTACTATAGATTTGTTGAAAATAATAATAATTTATGTTCTCTTGACTTTTTGAAAAGAGGTTGTTTATAATGTAATTTTTTTCAAAGGAACATATTTTCTTCAAATTTTTCAAAGAAAAATATAACATTATGATATTGTTATAATTTATGATATTATATGGAGATGGTGTTTGTTAGAATGATTTTGTAGTTTCTGTTGAGTAATATGTAAATAGTATATTTTCAATAAATTATAAATTATGTATTTATTTCTGCATAATATTTTTTACTAATTTAAAATCGAGCTTCATATTAAAATTTAAATATAATTTAATTAAAAATTGATTGATTTAATTTAAATAAAATACAAAAATTTAAATCATATACATTTTTAAAGTTAATTTTCTAAATCAATTAATTAATCAACTTAGATACACATAAAAGATAACATTATATTACTATCATTCTTTTGTTTATATATATTCCTTAATTGGTATGTAAAAAATACTATTAGTTTCTTGCATGTTATAAACATTACTGTTTATTTTTGTTCTTATAAAAAGTTTTAATTTAATTTAATATATATACTTATAATTTTTTATTTAATAACCATCGTTTATTAAAGTTATAAAGACTAGATTCGATATATGAGTTTTAAAAACAAGGACAATATATGAATAAAAAAACTATAATTCATTTTGCTCTATTGTCTATTCAAATAATAGATGAATTTTTTTGTTCCGTTGTATCATAAAATATCTAAAAAATAAAATATATTTTAATAAACTCCATCGTTCTTGGTCTTTTTTTCATCAATAATCTAAACACAGTGTAAGAATTAAACAAGACCTGTTAAAAAACGACGTTGACTTGATAGCAAGGTTGAAAATTAGGATTTATACATGTATATAAAAAAAACACTTTATAAATAAAAAAATAAAAATTGTTTTTTTTTTCGTCTCTTAAACTCGAAACTAATTTATATTTGGATGTCTAATGGCACGACGTTAATTACGGTGAAGAAAATAAACACGGCGTTAAGTATAGGTTATTTTCGTAGTGTTAAACTAAGGATAGAGTTTTCTCGCTAATAGCCCAGCTAATCCAACTTAATTTCGTGATTGATATTTAACTAACTATTCGGTTTGATTAAAAATTCGGTGACCTAATTTCCTTTCTCATCTAGTTGAACATGTTTAGATATAATTTTTGGCTAATCTCAACTCAAGTATTGTGATTTCGATGAAGTTTAAGTAGATAAGACAAAATTAATTTAATAAAATTAAAACTTAGTGTAGTTATTATTAAACTAAACTAATAGTAATAGCCAATTTAAATATATTGATGCTAGTTTGACATTTTTTGTGTAAATATTAAGTTGGGAAATTATTGAGAGAGCTTCCTAATTGCAACCATATTTGTTTGACTAGTGAGTTTGTCTGTATAAATATTATATAAAAAAAAATTAAAAGCATATAATATGATTAATTTTAAATTTATATGTAATTAATAATAAATTTTAATTGAAAACTAAAAATTTTAACTACTAACAATACATATTTTATTATTTTAAATATAATTAAATTAAAGATATTGAATTTTGAAAAATATAGCAACTTATAAAAAATAAAATAAATTAAAAAAACAACGAATATAAAAAAAAGTCGCATGACATAATAAATAAAAAAAACTCTTATAAATGATTTTATTTTAAAAAAATATTTAAGAATTAAACCTTATAATGTCTACATCGAGGTAGGTAGAGTAGATAGTTTCATAGTAATACATATTAGAATATGTCAACAAAATGAAATGGGTTATTTTCCTTAGTCTGTATTAATTTATACTATATAGCTTGAAATAAAATATAAATACAGCACTATTCTTTTTTAATAACTTTATTCTAATAAACTTTTTGCAGTAAAAACATTTGAATACATATTAAAATTCGTTTAGTAGTTTGTATAATGCAAAAGGTATTTTATTTTAAAATAAATATATACTTTAATTATAAAATAATAAAACTTATATTTTGTAAATAATTAAATATATAATAAAATTATCTTAAATAGTGATTCTTTAAAATTAAAAATGTTAAAATATAATTTATTTTAAAGCAAAAATTTTATAGATATTATAAAATTTTAATTAAATATTATTAATTAGTATATAGTGATAACCATAAATTTAAGACTCATAACTCTTACAAATAAACTCTAAAATTTAAAATATACTAAAAAAATTAAGATAATTCTTATAAATATAAAAATAATGTTTATAAAAATATAAAAATTTATAAAAGATAATAAAATAAAGATAACATATAAATTTAATCTTCAAATTTTAAAATAAAGTTAAAAAAATTATTATAAAAAAATGGAGTGTAATTCACACATTATTTTAGTTGATTTTAATTTTAAAACATACATATGACAAACTGCAAAGTAAAATAATTTGAATAATACTTTACTTTCTAAATAAAAAATTCTTATTTATAATACAAAAATTAATTAATTAATTTTTATTCTTGTGACTTTCTTGTGTTATATTCTTAAAATTGAATTAAACTCAATTTAGATGAACTTTTAGATAAGCTTTTGCATGAAAAAAAAATATATAAGGTAAATAATTTATTTATTTATTTTTTATAAAATTTAAAAAGATAAATTATTTATAACTTATAAAAAAAAATCATTCATTATATACAATGGGGCAAAATTAATTCAATTTAATCATTATACGGTAAAAAACTCTTTGGTTATTCCAATTATTTTGAGTATACTAATTATTGCATAAAATATAAAGTACTAAATAAAGGTATTGTATAAAACAATTTAATATTTATTTTTAAAAAATAAATAATTAAAATATAAATTATTAGATACTATTTTAGTTAGAACACTTTCACTATGGTTTAAAATTTAATATTTTTTAAACTTTTAAAAATGATCCTAATATTTATTTTTATTTTTACTCTTAAAGTGTCATTTTTGGTCCCTATAATTTATCAAACATTTTTTAAACAATTGTCTTTTATATTTTATTTGAATTGACAAAATTTGATACAGTGGAATGAAATATATTGAAATTAAAATAAATAAAGTGAAATATGGGTGATAATATTTTGACACCATTATAAAAGGATGTTTTTTTTTTTTAAGAAGAAAGATAGATAAACATAAAAAGTAATTAAAAATGAGATATTAAAACAAAGATGTTTACTATTGATAAATTATAATAGAATAAATATTATGTTTCAATAATTAGATATGTTACGATGGAATAAAATAATTTTTTATTTAAATAATAAATAAAGTGGAATGAATTATAATTTTTTTTATTATTATATAATAGAACAAGTAAAAAAAGTGAGATGAAGACTTTTATGAATCTGCACTTACTGATAATTAAATAATTATAAAAAAATTAAACTTCTATTACATACTTCCTAAATTAGAAAAAGGATGATAAAGTAAGAATTTTGGATAAAAAATCCCATTAAATATCATTATAATATATTAATATTTGATCAATTCAAATAATGAAATTATTTTAAACATTATTATATTCTCTAGTTCATCTTTCACCGTGAATATAAACATAACCTTAAAGAATACACACAATAACATATTATTGGTGACAAATGAAAGCTTTAAAAAGTAACATGAAATTAAAAAAACAATCTAAAAGAATGAAAAAAAAGAAAGACTCATATAAAATAAGAAAATGATTAAAATACAATAAACGGTAAAATGAATAAATGGTGGAAGTGATTGCCGTGAGGTTACGAAATGGGGCACCCCACAGAGTGAGAAATGAGTTCACAGAAACATGGAAACACACAAAGCGAAGTGTGAAAAGGCGACTGAAAAAGGGCACAGATTGTGAAAAAGGGCACAAAATAACATCCAATTTGTCCACCTCACCCAACATGTGATGCACTTTTTGGCAAAAAGTTCAACCTTACTACGACAACTAATAATGTTTTTTTAGTATTTAATACAATAAACAATGCCAGCACATGATGAGAGAGAAAGTCCATGTAATGCAAAATAGCAGTGCTGTGATAAAAGCAGTTAACAGCGTTGTTTTTGGTCATGGGATGGACCAAAAAAAAGGGAATGGCCTAATAAGCTTTTGCTTTCACTAGGAAAAAGACATGGCCCCACTTGCATTCCAAGTTTTTTTACTCTCTTCTATTACACTTTTTATCTTTCTATCTATCTATCTATCACTTTTAAATTGCTCATGTCACACACATTACACACATCAAACAAGACCCATTGCATTATTCTCTTCTCTTCTCACTCCTATACCAACCCTTTCCATATCTAATCTACAACACAACAATCTACCTATTCATATCTATCTGAACAGAGCAGAGGAGAGAGAAACTCTCGCACACAAAAGGGTCTGTGTTTGTTCTCTTGAAAAGTCCAGCTTCTACCTCTAGGGTTCCTTTGCTTTCAATTTTTGCATAAAAATATTATTTTTATATGATTTTCTGAAAAAAGCAACAAACCCCTTTTCCTTACCGATCTTGTCCTCTCTTTCTCTCTTTCTTGCCGTGTGGTAATTTTCTTTCCTTCTGATCTCTCACTCCTCTCTGTTCCATCCTTCGTACAAATACATGTGTTCTTTTTCTTTTTTTAATGTAAAAAAGTATTTTTTTTTTCAAAGTTATTGTTTTTCTGGGCTTGAAGCCATCTCTGAGAGGTTCAGATAAGGAAAAGTTGAGAATTTTGTAAACGGGTAATTGGATTTGATTAGATTTGTTGTATGTTATTCTTGTTGTTTCTGTTTCCTTCTGTGTTTTCTTTTGTAGGTGTATGCGATTATGTGTTAGAGATGTTTCTGACTTTTTGTTCGATAAGAATTGATCTGCTACTCGTAATTCGCTCCATGGGGGAAGGTTTTTGGTTGCTATAAAATTCCTGATAATATTTTATTTGGTGAATTTTTTACTACAATTCTTTTCTGATAGAAATGCATTTTTTAAGAGAAAAAAAGTTTGGTTCCTTTGCCTGAAAATGATGTTTCAGTCGTATAAAATTATTTATTAATTATTATTTCCGAATCTAAATTCTTATTTTTCTCAGGAAATTCTTCTCGAAATATTATTAGCTAATATTGTCTTAATTATAATATATTATTTATCATTCTTCTTTGAATAGAATCTGTGCTGCTGTATAGTCTCTTGCTGCTATGAAATAGTTTTTTTGAGTTTGCTTGTCAAGCCATTTTATTACTTTTCTTTTAAGCTTTCTCTTTAACCTATACTGCTTGATCTTGGCTGCATGTTTCACATTGTTTAATCCCAGTTCCATAAATTACTAGTCATGGCATAGACATTGTTCAGAGTTTGCATTGGAATTCCCAATTCTTTTTCTTTTCTCTTCATTTTATATGTAGTTATATATTCTTATCAAAATGCTTACTTGTTATCTTTTTAGCTGAATTTGCAGATCTAAATTGCAGTTTCCTTCATCACATTGTTCAACAGCTTGTAAGTTTTATGACCGATCTTGGCTTCAACATCTTAAGATAAGAAGGAAGGTTTATTGAAGTTTGAGTAGATATGATTACTAATTACGAATTGTTCATTTAGATTAAGGAGCAAGTGAGGAGGCAGTTTAAAGATGGGTTACTTGTGTGATTTCTGTGGAGACCAGAGGTCCTTGGTGTACTGCCGCTCTGATGCCGCATGCTTATGTTTGTCATGTGATCGAAACGTTCATTCTGCTAATGCCCTTTCTAGGCGTCATTCAAGAACACTTGTATGTGAGAGGTGTAATTCACAACCTGCATTTGTGAGGTGTGTTGAAGAGAAAATTTCACTTTGTCAGAACTGTGATTGGTTGGGTCATGGTACCTCACCAACTTCTTCAGCACACAAGAGGCAAACAATCAATTGCTATTCCGGCTGCCCTTCAGCTGCAGAATTTTCTTCAATATGGTCCTTTTTCCTAGATATTCCCTCTATGGGTGAAGCGTGTGAGCAGGAACTAGGTTTAATGAGCATTAATGAAAACAGCAACAAGAATTGGGTTCCTCCAGAAGGCCAGAATGTGTCTGGTTCAGCTCAAGTGACTGATCTACCTAGCAAGGATAAATCTTGGGTTGGCACATCTTCAATACCCGAATCAGGACCCCTTGTTCTGAACCAGCCATCTGGACCTGCCAATGAATCTATGCCCAAGGTATAGCCTCCTGTTTTCCTTTTTGTCCCAAGTACCAACAAAAATTCCTGAGGAAATTATTAAAAGGGGTCTCGCGGTGATTAATATTTCTGAGAATTTGGCTTTTGACTCTGTCGAGTGGTGTCGTTTGATGATGTGATGTGATCCATGTAACAACCTCACCCAGTGGAAGGATAAGGCTTCTGTTTTTTGTTTTTGTTTTTGTTATAAATGTGCTAGGTTTGATGGACATTCTAACATGTGCACCAAGTGAATGAAATTGCAAGGTTGCTATGAATGAATTATTTTTGTGAATTTGTTTGATGATTTGTAACATTTGTTTTTTCCATTTACAAAAGCCACGGCGTGATAGAAAAAACTATTGGGAAATCATAACTATACTAGGTGTGATGGACATTCTAACAACAGAACATTTAATGAAATTGCAAGCTTGCAGAGAATGAGTTCTTCTTTTGTCCATTATTATATGGTTTTGACATATATATATTTTTTTATAATTTGTATAAGGCATGAGAGTAATAGCAAAAGTATCCTGGTTATTGATAACTAATTTCCTAAGTAGCTTATCATCTAATGCTTCTTTTGGCTAAATCATTGGAAGTTTTGTGGTTGAACTATAATTTGTTTTCTAAATGATACTGCAGAATTCAAAACTGGTTGCTTTGGTTCTGCCTGCATGTTGTTTCTTGGTCAAAATTTGTATGTTGGTTTCACAGAATTTTCAGTTCCTGATTTATTGGTAACTGGAACTCAAAGTAGGAACAACTAACCCTGCATGATGCTATCTATTGTTTAGATACCTCCAGTACACGTGAAAGTAGGCACTTTAATTTGAAAAGGGTTTATTCATTTAGATGTTCTCTCTTTTATGGATTTTGACTGCTATCTCGAATATTGTTCCATGGGTGAAAAAAAATTAGTGGTTTACATGGATAATTGCACCATTATCTACATGGGCTGGATATCTGTATATTTTCTCTCTTTGCTAGTGTTAATCAGATTATATATGACTTTGCTATCTGTTTAACTTTTTACTGAAATAAGTTGTACAGTTTTTATCTTTCTATAAGTCTCATTGTTTCATCTAATTACTTAGTTAATCTCTCTCGATGAATCTGCAGTTGTACTGTCCTGGTAAGAAAGTTTCTGGACTCTGTGATGATGATAAGCTGTATGATGATTTCATCATGGATGAAGTGGATCTAGAACTTGAAAACTATGAGGAACTTTTTGGTATGGCTATGAGTCATTCTGAAGAGCTTTTTGAAAATGGTGGAATTGATAGCTTATTTGGGACGAAGGACATGTCTGCTAGTGCTGGTGATTCCCATTGTCAGGGTGCTGTTGCTGCTGAGGTACTCAAATCTCATCATCCTATGCCTGTGATAAACCTGGGTTTTCTTTTATTGGAGCATCATCTGTTATATTCCACATAACCGAGGCATGTTTCTTGTTGTTAAGCTGTGCATCTGTGAATCTTAATGCGATTAAATTTTATGCTTTACAAAGATCATTTAACCTGTTCACTTGTGTGCATTATTTCTTGTTATCTCCTTGATCACCTGGTGATAATGAATATCTTGACTTGTATGATAGAAAGATTTTAGATATAGGGCATACGCTCATCCCAGCAGGGTTTCCCCACTACCTAAATTTGTATGACAGAAAGATTTTAACCATAAAACTTAGAATAAACTGAAAATAACTTATTCTGAATAGCTGAAGTTTATTAAAATAAGTTGAAAAAGTTACAAAAGTTATTAACTATTTTCATATGCTCTTTCAAACAATCCCTTAGTTTCTTTTGTGGGGTCTGAATTGAATGGTTTTACATCTCTTAGCTTACGTATTTGATATCATATCTAAACTTTTGTTTCCAGGGATCATCTGCTGGGTTGGTAAATGCCATGCAACCAGCATGCAGCAATGCAGCATCTGCAGATTCAATGTTGAGTACAAAAACTGAACCAATTCTTTGTTTTACGGCAAGGCAATCACAATCAAACATTTCTTTTTCTGGTGTTACCAAAGATAGTGCTGGTGACTATCAAGACTGTGGTGCTTCTTCAATGCTTCTCATGGGAGAGCCTCCCTGGTGTCCTCCATGCCCTGAGAGCTCTCTGCAATCTGCTAACCGTAGCAATGCTGTCATGCGTTATAAGGAAAAGAAGAAGACCAGAAAGTAAGTTAATTGAATGATTCTATTCATATAGCCAATTGGTCCCATATTACTGTTGGTTCTTATTCTACATAAAAGTAATGGTGGGCATCATCCAATAGTGTCTTCGTTCTGGTCTCAACATGGGGCTATTAATTTTACTAGTTGTTTCTTATCATTCATTCATTTTACCTTCTCAATGTTTTATAATAATAATAGCAACCAAGCATTATCTTAGTAGGTACAGTTGGCTACATGGATAAATCCATGCCACTACTCTAGACCAAAAACCTTTTTCAGTAAAAGCTTTCAGAGCAAGGTCAATATTTTAATTGTTTCCTCTCTTGATGTATTTTTAGGTTTTCTTCTACCTCTTGTAATCCTATTATCCTCTCTCTAGAGTTTTTATTCAGGGAGAGATTGAGGAGGCATCCTTAATATTTCTCTGAAAATTGTATCCGTAGACTATAGTTCTTTATATATTTCATTAAAAAAATCTTTAGTCTTGTCCCTCTAATACAATTTATGCATGCCAAAGTTTTTAACATTTGCCCTCGTAGATGTTATCTGGACCTGTCCTTGTCTCTATTTATCTCTCAGATGACCGAGCCACCCTAGCCTAGTTTTGTCATCTTGTCTTCAATTGGTGATACTCCAACTTTCTGAGTCACATTCGTTCCTGAAGCTTCTGTTGTATTTTCACTCATCCACCTGAATAATCTTTTTTGGCACACATTTTCTCTTGCTTTTGTTGGCACTTCATGCCTAACATTCATTTCCATAGAACGTTGATTTTATTAGCTCATTGTACAACTTGATATGCCAAGTTATACCTTTCTTTTCTATGCACTTAACAGTTTTTAGTTCACTGAAATGATAATAAGTAGCACTGATGAACAAAATAGGCATCAGAGATTTCAATTAAATACACAGAATCCACTAGTTATGCAAATGGTTGTTGTTTCCATGCTCAAACTTTAGTGCATTTGTGTATAACTGTATATGTGTGCCGTAGATGCCATGGTATTAGATCAATGATTGGAATGAATACACAATCTGCTATCATTTGTGTTCTACATAATGTGATCAGCCAATAGTGGATATCCTATCATGCGTTTCTCTAGTTTGGGTTTCTGTCTTTGTTGCTGAGCAATATAACTATTGGTTAATTATTGGATTTGCTTTATTTCTAAGTTCCAAACCGTATTTGCTCTATAGATGATTTAACATCAGTTTTGGCTATCTTATTAGGTTTGAGAAGAGAGTAAGGTATGCCTCTCGCAAGGCTAGGGCTGATGTCAGAAGGCGTGTGAAGGGCCGGTTTGTGAAAGCTGGTGATGTTTATGACTATGACCCTCTGCACCAAACCAGAAGCTACTGAGTGTACAACTTTTAACCATGTTCTATAAAAGGAAAGAAACACTCATATAGTTACAAAAGAAAACAGTAACACTTACCTGAAAAATGGATGAAATTTGATGCATTCTTTCTCCATGCAATGACAAGCTGTCTGGTTTTATCACAGGGCTTAGATTTTCTTCAAGGGGAAGAAGGTTGTAACCAGGCCATATTCCAATGAATTGACAGTGTGAGCTCAGGAGCAGATTGTGTGTCCTTCACTGCAATGGATATCCCAGTTGTGGTTTCAGCTGACATGACAATGTCACCAAGTGGCCCTTTCAGGCAATGTGTCCTGGAATTTTGATTGCCTTTCTCTTTAACTTGGCAAATCCTACTTCTTAATTCTAATCTAATGCAAAATTCTTTTTATGTCCTTTGGCCTTGATCATGCTCATAGTTTGTCATAATTTTCTGTCAACTCCTCACTGATATAAGTCACATGTACAAGTGTGCCTATGATGGCATGATAAGTGGCTCAATTTGATAAGTTCTAGATAATCTACACTGTTGTAGGCTGTGATATTTTGCCTCTCTTGCTTTGCCATGTATAGTACAGTATATACATATATGCTGTTAGAGGTGTAATGGCTCAACAGTTCCTTTTCCTTTAGGCATGAGACCAATTGTAAATTTGAAGGTTATTATGTATAGAATAGGATGCTATTTGTGCTGATGACATGAAACAGTCTACATTTGGACATGTATCTTGTATCCATACAAGTTTTGTTTGTATTTTATTTCAGTGCCATGGATACTCTAAAAAAAATGTTACCCTAGAACATTATGCGATTATGTATAATAAATCAGTGTGTGAAAGATGTTTTAGCATAGATTCTTGAATTTGTTTATCTTTATTCAATATTTGTTGTAATTTTTATAATCTATGTTTTTTCTCTACCATATTTTGAGATAAATGCTTTATATCAGTGTTTTAAATAAGATTTTTTTAATCTGTGCAATATTGCAAAGGGTAAAAAATCATATACAGTAAATTTTTATGAAAAATTACAGAATTTAATGTATGATAATATTAAATGTTACAATTTTTAATGAAAAATTACCTTATAACTTGTTATCCCGTGTAATGGTGTACAAGTTAAAAAAATTCTTTTAAATATCCTAATAGTCATACATAAAAACAACTATTAAAATTACATTTAAACAATTTATAACGTCTGGTTTGCTTGATATTTTTTTATTTATTTTTACAAATAATTTGAAATGTTGCTTTATTTTTACCTTTGTTTGGAAACAATATTTTTTATTATCATACCATTTTTTAAAACAATAAATAAAATATAAACAAGGTGATATGTTTATAATTAATTGTAAAATAAAATAGAAATAAATTAATATTTTTGTAATTATTTATAAAAATAAAAAATAGAAAAAAAATGGAACTAAGTAGACCCTAGTTTATCTGTCTTTCATTGTGCTTGGTTGAAAGTTAACCAAATTATGTGTTATTTTATGGCTCTACAATCTATTTAAAATCACAAAATAATATGTAATTTATTTAAAAGAATTTAAATAAAAATTTGAAAAGGAAAACAAATCTTAATATGTGAAAATAAAGTATTTGACAATACAAGTGGTTATAATTTAAAAAATATATATAATTGAAAAACAATAAATTATAACTCTTTAAAAATGTGAAAGGATGCATATATATATATATATATATATATATATATATATATATTATAAAGTTAATAAAATATATTTTAACTTGTAATAATAACAAAATATTTTGTTATATGAAAAATAGGCTATTCCCGCTAGAAATTTTTGTCAAGCAGAGATTTTTTATTTAAAAACTATCCAATGATGACTAACATTGTGAAACGGGACATCAAATTCTCTCAAAGGTTAATTCTGTATGCGGCATTATATAATTTTATTTAACGAGAAATATTAAATTACTTTTAATATTAAAGTGCCACTTAGAAATATTTAAAGAGGACTATAGTCACATATCCAGAGAAAAAGCTAAACTTATATTTTAAATAGAAAATAATAAGGGAAACTTTAATGTAGCGAAAATGTTTTAAAATTGATTTCACTACATTTTATGATTAAGAATATTATAATAAAAACATTATTTTCATATTTATTTTAGTTGAAAAATATATTATATATTTTTTATGCTTACAATTCATTTTTTGTGTGTCCTATTTTCACAATTCATTGTACGGTATGTCACCGAATAAAAAAATTTGGTGCTATACGCATGAATTCAGGCGGTAAATAAGGATAAAGTATAAAAATACAAAATTGGAAACACGTCATGCTCCATAAACTACCATTTCTTTCCATTTATAATTCTGTTAACTAGCAGCCCCTAAGTTTAGGGTTTACATTCAATTTAAATAAATAATTATTTATTTTTAAAATTTAATAAAAAATTTAAAATTAATTAAATCAAAATATACACACTACCTCGTTGGGCTTAGTGGTGTGATATTATTTTTTAAGATATTAATGAAAACAAATGTTTTTAAAATGAAACAAATTAAATACACTACCTCTCCCATTAAGTTAAATATTGAGACAAAAATTATGAATATATATGCATTCAATTTTATAATGCATTTTTTTTTCTTATTATCTCACTATTTTCTCATGCCTATTATGATTTTTAATATATAAAATACTAACATATATTAACCATGGTTAAAAAAATGCATTCCCAGGAAGGAAGCAACGTGTAACCATGGTTAAGGAGCTAGGAACTGTTGTCAATAATGAATCCCTGAGATGGTGGGGTTCCTTCCTCTATCTATAAAGCAAAGAGAGAAGAAACTACTGATTTTGCATCATTCCAGAACCGTAATCTTCAAACCCCACTTCGTAAGTCTCATCAAAATGCATTCTTTTTCTTCTGCCTTTTCACTTTTCTTCTCTGGGTCATCTTGGAATTCCCTGTTTCTGTTCAAATTTGCTAGATCGTGAATTTGGGTAGTGTTGTTAAAGTTCTGTTTTTTCTTTTTCCTCTTCCTTATTTTTATTAAAAACTTATTTTGATGTACTGCTTTGATCAATTTTTTCCCATGAAGCTTTGTTTTGTGTTGGATCTCGTTCATGATGAAGTAGCCACCCAAATGCTTGTTGTTTAATTTCTCTATTTGCAATCTGGAAATTTTTGCATCAAATTACATGCTACTTGCTACTTGCAATTTTCACTTGTTTTATGGTATATTAGTTTAATTTTTCTTCTGATTCAGAATCATGGGGCTGCTGGCTTTGACCCATTTTTTCTGAGTATCTATCTATGTATGTGTTATATATATATATATATATATCTCAAAATTCTGTGTTTGTTGAAAACTGTTGTGTCATTCACTTTCATATGTTTTTTTTTTTTTTTTAACTTTTGCTATGAATATCTTTTGAAACCAAATATTATAATAGCTTTATGGTTGACGTATTGAAGCTTACTATGTTTGTTCTTTCAATTTATGATTTATTGTTCGCCAGATTTGGTTGAAGTAATTAATGCTCTAATCGTTCTTTTATGTGTTTGCAGGCCAGAAATCGAAAAGACACCAACATATTTTTCATACATGTTTCTGCCCCTCTGACTAATCAAGTTAACATACCACCCCTACCTTTTGGTTCCCAATTACCTTGTTTGTAGATTCTGCTTAGTTCAAAGGAAATTGCAATCTACTTAGCTTAGTTTTGAGCTTCAACAGTTGCAACACAGTTTATATCTGTTACGTTATATCCCTAAAGTACTCTCAGCATTGATCAAAATGGGCCTCTCAAGTCTCCCAGCACCATCTGAAGGAGTATTATGTGTACTTCTTGTGAACACTGTATTGTCAATTTCCATATTTAAAGGCATTGTTAGGACAATCTTACACATTGTTGGTATCCATCTTTCATCATCCTCCACTTCACCAGATGCCTCTCAAACCCCGCCCGAGTCATTCGAATTCCATCTTAGTCCCTCTGAGAGTTACATTGAAGAGTTCAGAAGCAGGACACCAACACTAAGGTTTGACACAGTGTATAGCTGTAAACGACCTGAACATGACTGCTCTGTATGTCTTACTCAGTTTGAACCAGAATCGGAGATAAACCGATTGTCTTGTGGCCATCTCTTCCATACAGTATGCTTGGAGAAGTGGCTGGACTATTGGAACATTACATGCCCTCTTTGCAGGACTCCCTTAATGCCTGAAGATGATACACCTTGCTTTTAGTAAGCCAAATGAGTGAGCATGCTAATAAGAGAGTTTAATGTACAGTGTAGTGTACATATTCTTGAGAGTTTTGATGTTTATGCATCGTAGTTCTTCAACCTTTTCAAGTTTTAACCCTTTGCCTTTTGTGATCCATAGTTTGTGGAGGGTTTTGTTTTCCTTTTTATGTTGTGCGCTTTAGCACAAATGAGGGGTATACTTTTTGCTTGCATATTATGTTTGTTCATAATGCCCACCTTGTTCAGACTTTAGAGCCTTAATTATATATTGGGCAGTATTTGATCCCAATTTGGAAGCATGGATTGTGGAATCCATTTGTTTTGCCCTTTAAGCTCTCATCACCGTGTACATATGTAGTCTGTAAATAGATGTGATTGGCAATAAGATTCAGTTAAACTAAACAATACAAAATCATTTTGATTTTTGCTATATACAATGCTTATATCTTGTTTAGTTTTTCTTTTTTTTTTACAATATTATAATGGGGTGCTCTATTTGAAATTTTCTTTCTCTGTCAAAATGGGTTTTTAAAAGAAATTGATTTATGATAAAACACATTATTTGTATATGCAGTGCTATATTTTTCCAGTGTTGTATTCACTCCCATTGAGATTGGATCATTTTTCAATGTAAATGCTTGTTAGAGAATAAAATAAAAATGTAAAATAAATAATTTCTTGTTAGTTAAAATTAATGTATAAACACTTTTAATTTAGAAGAAAGTAATTTATTTTATCTCTATTTTCTTGCAGATACTTGTTCAAAAGATTATCTAAAGGGAGTTTTCATAGCAGAGCCTCTAAATAATATTATATAGTTTTGCAAATTACTTTCCTTGACTTGGTGTATATAAAAAAAGTGCAGATGAAATTAATTAAATGAGCTGGGTTAAATTTAAACTTTTATGACATCGATATTGAAGAGCTTATTATGACTAATAAAGCTGGCTTATAACCTTTATTTTCATATAAGCTTTATTTTAACTTATTTGAGTAAAATCTATTTTGAGCTTACGATTAGGGTTTTATTTAACAAGAATTGATAGATAAAGGTTTAATTAACTAAAAAGGGAAAAATTGACGTGCGAAGAGATTACGTCCACGTTTAAATGAAAGGGAAATGTGTGAATGTTAATGGTAAGTAATGAGAATATTTTAATAATAAAAAAACATAGATAGAATATTTTAATAATTGATTTTTGGTTATTTAAATTGAGAGAAGAATAATGATGAATGTAAAAGTGAGTACGTGTCAAATTGTAACACAAGAGAAAGAGGGGCAAAGTTGGAAAGAGAAAAGAAAGTTGCATTGAGTTGGGGCATAATTGATTGTTATTAGTGGAAAGATGCGACATTTGTGGTAGTCGGCACACAATAATTAACAACTCAACCACCTAACTGATGCCGACACTCATTATAAACCTCAACTCCACTTGCTATCTTCTCATTCCCCATTTTATTATTATTATTATTTCTTCACTTATAATAAAATACAGTAATCTTCAATTTCTTAGTATTTTAATCTTTAAATCTTTTTTATTCTAAAGTTCTATGTATTTTTTTAAAGAGAAATATCACTTTTTGTGAGTAATTTTTATTAAACTGAAATAACAAAAAATAAATCACTTGACTTAATCAAAATCTGTTAGTGTTCTAATCAATGCAGACGAAGCAAAATGTTTGAAATCTGAGTTATACTCGGATCCAAATAAGTTTTACAGAGAAATGAAAAAAACAATACATAATTTATAAAATATGAAGTATTTAAGACAAACGCGAATCAATAATACTGATTAAGAAAATATATTATTAATATACCATACCATAATTTTTAATATATGTTTGGTATGGTTTTTATTTTTTAAATTTGCAGACTCAAACAGCTCCATTTTTCATGTAAGAGTCAGAGATAAAACTTTTAGTTCGAGCCTCAATATTAATGGAATGAGTCAATTGTATCTTACGTGCATTGCTGTTGTTAGGAGTATTAAAAATGGATTAAAAATAATTAAATGTTGAATAAAAAAATATTGAAAATTTAAAATTTACCCTTTTTGTTCTTTTTTTTTTAATTTTAAAATTGAACCCCGAGTATCCTAATTTTATAACAATTTTTTATTATGACCTTATATAAACATTAATCTAAAATATATTTATTAAATTTATTTTTATTTTAAAAATTAAAACGGTTTTAATTTATAATTTAGAGTAAGTTATAATTTATTATGAGATTTAATATTTTTAATTAAATTTTTCATACTTATTATATATTTGACTTTTTTATTTCTTAAATGATAAAAGAAAACTACTGCAATAATTAATTTACTGACTTGAGATTCTATAAAATAATTAATGTACTGATTTAATATTTAAATTGAACCACAAGTTTTGTTTAGAATAGTTTCAAATGATTTTTTCAATCTAAAATTTGATCTAAATGGAATCGTCAGCACTCTTATTTGTCATCAAACTCTTGACTAGTTAATAACTTATGACCCAACTTACATCATACTTCAGGGGTCAAGTTCTTTTTTATTTTATTTTAAAGTCAATTTAATTAAAAAGGTTAAGTTTTAGGCTATCCAAAAAGCTTCTTTAAAATCTTCTAGGTTAGTCCATTTAAATAATAATAATAATTTGATATTATATATTTATTTAAAGGTTGAACAAAAATGCATGTCAGTTTATGCTTTTAATAAAACCATATAAAACTTTAAAAAAATGTCTTATAACATATGAATATATCAAAGTCAGACTTTAACTTTAAGAATCAGCTTCCACTAAAGTCTTATTATTACACTTATTTTTTTTCCTAAAGTTTATGGATGAAGACTTACAAGAAAATGCTTCTTTTTTCTTCTTTCGAATTAACATTAAACTAAACTAACAAAAATTAAAATTATAGTTAAATAACTATTTTTGAACAAATGAATATAATACGATTAAACTGTTGAGTTTTCATGTGAGGAAATAGGCGTTTTTATTTATTGGTCCAAACACGTGACTCATTTTGGGCCATTATCATGTGTCATGAGTTGAACGGCTTGCAGATTGGCTCCAGTTTACCTTACACTCGTGTTGGGCTTTTTAAAAACTGTTCATGCTAGCTTTTTATTTCCTCAATTTTTTTTTCTTACTTAATTATTCATTTTTTTACAATTTATTTTTGCCTTTTATTGGGTATTCTGTAATTTTTTTAAGGGAAGTGGAGTTTGTACAATAACAACATTTTAATCATGTTATTTAAATTCGTTTATTATTAATTTTATTATCAGTCAAAGTAATAAGTGAAAAGTGTTTATTGTTTAAAACGTGCATACAAATTTTAAGGTAATAGGTGGTGAAATTTAGCTTTTGAATTTTTCAGATATAGATTATAAATATATCATGTATAGAATAAATTTAATTACTTAATAAAAATATTATAGTGAAAAGTTACAAATTAACTTTAAATTGTGGTGACAACAGAGATTAAAAATCAAACTTAAATGTATAAATAATGTTTTTATTTCATAATTTTTATGACCGGTCATTTAGTAGAGGAATAATCAATATTTATTTTTAAAAAAATATTTTTAAAAGTTAGCAAGAATGATTATTTCTTAATATAAATTATACAAAATACATAATAACTTTCTATTCTTGAATTTTTGTTTACCCTATTGTTAGGATATACAAGGAGAGGCAAAATGGTATGTAAGAGAAAAAGATTAACCCCTCCTTATGAATTTTAGCTGAATGATACATTAGTACTCAGTAATGCAAACATTTCACATAATGCCATAAAATTTATAAAATATCGATCATGTTAATCTTTGGCATTGAAGACATTAGTCCTTACAAAGGCATAATATAACTTTTATTTGAGGTTCATAGGAACTATAGTAGATTTAAGAATTGATGTGTTCATTGTCCGAATTTTCGATTATGAATTTAGTAATTCCACATGAATACAACGAAATAAAATAAAGAAAACGTTAATTAAAATATGGGACATTATTATTTTAATTTAATACAAATTAATAATATATTATGTCTTTATTTTATTTTTATCTGGGGTTAGATGATGTTTTATATTAAAAATATTGATTTAAACAATTGAGAAAATATGAATTTTAAATACGAACAGTTAACATTAAAGGGAAAAAATTACATAGAGATTCAAATATAAGAGTTAAAAGTTTAATTAAATATTTGTATTTTTAACTTTTAAATATTTATAAAAAATATAAAACACTCGAAAATAAAAATAAATTAATATTTTAAAAATGATTAATAAAAACGAATACAAATAAAAAGTTGTATAATCATTAACATTCGTTATAAAAAAAAAGGTTAAGTTTTAAAATAATATAAGTTTGTTTAGTTTATAGTGATTTTTGGATACAAAGAATCTAAAATAAAAAAACATTACTTGTATTATTATTTCACCTAATTTTTTACCAAGTGAAATGAGAGAATGTAATGAATTAATGGATTAAAAATTTATTTAATATTCTTCTCTTCCTGTGCATACATTTTAATATAAAAATTTAAGACTAAAATTAAACATTTCAATTATTTCTGATAAATTAAGATTAATTATATTAAAAAAATTGTATTTAATTTTAAAATAAACGAAAATTATAGTTTCACTTGACTTTAATTTACAAAAAATTGATTGATATGTACAAAATAAAATGTGTAATATATGCAATTACAGAAGGCGCCAAGCGTAGCGAACCTATTATCTTGTGGGTCTGTGTCTGCGTGCAGTACCTCGTCCCGAGTCACCACCACCCGCTATCATTTTATCCACAACCATTCCATTACCATAGCATAACAGTTACCCTCTGTTCTACAACAACCTTTGCAACACCAACCTCAAAAAGTTATGAACTTGTTGTACCTTGATACTGTCAGATACCCACCGTAACACTTTCCCCCTTTTTCTTTTTCTTTCTTTTTTCTTCTTATTTTCAATGGCTGAACTTGGTTTTATGCATCACCACCACCACCTTTTTCGCTCCAACACTCCCTTCACTATCCCAGCCAAGAGGTATTATGCTCTCACATTCACTAATTTCCCTTTAATTCTCCGTTGTATGGTTCTATCCTTAATTTTCTATTGGATAATTCTTCCTACCCAGAAGCATTAATGGGTTGAATGAACAATGTATGGCCATTTCGTGTTTACAAGTTCTTTTTTTGGGAGATAATTTTCTTCCTTTTCCACTTGTTTGTTTGTTAGTATATGTTGTGCTTTCATTTTCAGTAGGTGGAAAACAGTTTAGATGAAAAAATGTTTACATTTTCACTCATTGTTGCTACTTGGTAGAGAGTGGAAAATCACTCTGAAGTTTGAACTCAGTTTCATGCTACA